TGCACACACAACCACACTGCACGTGAGACAGTCCCAAGCCCCGGGGCAGTGCACACACAACCACACTGCAGTTAGACAGTTAGTCCCCAGCCATTGTGTATTCAACTGCACTGGTTTTATTACTTTGGGTAGCTCATTATTATCCTACACCCATGGCTTAAGTGAGGGTTAATCTCACAGCTGGAGGAAAGATAGCCCCCCAAGGATGTGATTTCCTGATACTGAAGAAGTCTTGTCACAAATACTCGTTTGCTCAGTATCTTGTCACAAAGAGAAGCGCACAACTCAGGGTGCAGTTTGAATGCAACGCACTATAAGAGCTGTTTGGAAATTAACTACTCATAGTGTGACGTTTACAGTTCATCAAACTAAAGCAATGCCCTGTCACTGCTGATCTATCCCCCCTGACCCTCCAAATCCAGTCCCAACACGTCTGGATGAAACTGGATGAAACTTTCTTAAGGATTAGACCGAGATTACAAATCAAACTTTTGTTTCTCCTTAGCCTTCAATCAAGTCCAGTGGAAGGGAGCAGATGATCTTAAAGGAGACACAGACAGCAGGCATCTAATCAGATGCCTTAGAGGTTAGCAGAAAGTTCGCCAATTGCAATATAGATTTTAGAAAATGAATGACGCCACAAAATAATGAGAAGGTGGTTTTAAATATAGAATGGCTTTTTAACACCACCAGTTCTTTAAAAATGGTTAAGGTTTTAAAAGTAGCTACTCCCAAAACTGCTCCTGGGGAGGTCAGTGGAATGGACAGTCACTTTTTTGTGTTCAAGTCCCTGTCACTACAATAGCACATTGTTTCTAAAGCGAGAAATCTCCCTGCATTAAATTTAATAGGTGAGGTTTACATTCTTACAGTCTCCAATCTCCTATTTTACATTATTTTTCCCCATTATAAGTGGTTTCACTGTATGTTGTAATTTTGTGCTCCCTAACAACTTGTATAATTTTGACCCCCTATATTTGATATTGGAGGCACAAACTGTCTGTAATGTTAGATATATGGTGCTTACCATAACCACCCATATTGTCTGGATTAGCATAGCCACTTTCGTATCCTCCAGATATCCCCATTCTTCCCGCTGACCCATAGCCACCATTGTTACCTGCGTAAATACAAAGAAACATTCTTCAGACTGTCAATCACCATACTGCATTTCCAAACCATCTATACAACAGGCTCTTCTTACACTTTGTCATTGTATAAGGCATGAGTCATTTGTCAGTCACTGAAAGCACATAGGGTTTTATGCAAAAGTTTGGGTACCTCTTTTACTGCCACATTTACAGTTTTATTTTTTTCAATCTGTTAAATTCGGCAAATAAATAGTTATCTGTGCATTAAAATTAGCAGAAATATGTCAAGTTTAAATTTGTTCCCTGCAGAGGTTGTGTATATGGCCAGCAGCCATATCACCCTGCAACTCAAAACTGGCAGCCCACTGAAGCTAAGCAGGTGTGAGCCTGGTCAGTACCTGGATGGGAGACCTCCTGGGAAAAACTAAGGATGCTGCTGGAAGAGGTGTTAGTGGGGCCAATAGGGGGCGCTCACCCTGTGGTCCATGTGGGTCCTAATGCCCCAGTATAGTGATGGGGACACTATACTGTGAACTGGCGCCGTCCTTCGGATGAGACGTAAAACTGAGGTCCTGACTCTCTGTGGTCATTAAAAATCCCAGGGCGTTTCTCGAAAAGAGTAGGGGTGTAACCCTGGCGTCCTGGCCAAATTTCCCATTGGCCATTACCTCCTAATAATCCCTAGCTATGAATTGGTTTCGTTACTCTGCTCTCCTGCCCACTGATAGCTGGTGTGTGGTGAGGTCTGGCGCACTATGGCTGCCGTCGCATCATCCAGGTGGATGCTGCACATTGGTGGTGGTGGAGGGGAGTCCCCATTACCTGTAAAGCGCTTTGAGTGGAGTGTCCAGAAAAGCACTATATAAGTGTAAGAAATTATTATTATTATTAACTTCTTCTCACTTTGAAAATCAACAAAACATGTCATTTGGGCCAAACGTTTGCATAAAACTGTATGATACATATAGCAAAGCATAAGGCAGTATGACGATAGATATCAAACTTTATTCGCACTACACCTCTCCCTGTAACTCTATAAATGCTATAAATGTGTAAAGTGCCAAAGTTACCAGGCAAAACAAGTATGTTAGCCACAGATGGTGCCCTTATATTCTGTTGTGTAATTTAAACAATTATTACATCCTATGGTCAGTTGAAGATAAATTAAACATTAAAAAGATTACTCTACATGTCATTCCTACTGCATCTTACAGTTTTCGTTGTTGAAAAACAGATTGAAGTTCAATCTCATAATCCTGTCAATCGCAGCTACAAATCCTCTAGGAAATCACTCCTTGAAGAAGATATCCTCAAAAACAATAAAGACTTACATTTTTATTTAGAAGTATACAAATCTATAGACAACTAAAGCACTGCGCCAATTTTGTTGAAACTTTGCTTGTATGTAGTTTTCCTGTTTTGTCATATTCCTGTAAATGGTTTTACACCAATCTTTTAAAAAAAACTAATATTTCTCCTTCTGTTTTACCTTTTCCAGATTTTGATATAATGCATTATAAAACACATTACTTCATCTTGAAAATAATTCTGTTCATGGAAACATCAATGTAATGTAGCAACAAACCAACAACATTCTAAATTGCTGGTTCCAGTCTGATAAACTGTCACAATAAGAAAAAGACATACCCATTTCAGAGCCTCCACTGGCTGTCGAGTTCAAAAACAGCTCAATGTACCGATGTTCTAAAATCAAGCAGAGGAGGAAAAAAAAGTTTTTTACTCAACAAATTCAACATAAGTAATCAACACTAAACTTAAGTAGGATCTTTGAAACATTTTGTACTAAAAGATTCATGTCTTAAACATCTTGTCCTGTCTCTAAATGATCTACGTAGAGATCCACTAATCTGCAGATGCTAGGGTCATATTTTAAATTAAAGTATAACATAACTCTAGATATATCAAATTTGCTGAAATGTCCTTTTTTAGCGTACGTACGCATGTGATTTTTATCCTTGGACATGGCTGCTACCGCATCTTCATGCGATCCAAACTCCACATCGGCCTCGCCAGTAGATTTTCCATTGGGTCCCACATCGATGTGAACTCTCACAGGGTTTAATGGAGAAAAGAACTTTTAAAGGAAAAGACAGAAACAAACATTAAAGCAGAGGGTGACACAACTCGATAAATACAGGACTGTTTTTGAAAAAGGATCTAAACCAAAAGAAAAAGGCACTGACTCAGCCTTTCAACTAACAGGGTTTAAAAGTCCGTTATGGGGGAGCACAAGCAAAACTGAGTTACTTATTTCAGTAAGTGACATTTTTTCCAACTCGGTTGTCTTATGTCTTACATTGGCTATATCCGCCTCTGTGGCCCGGAAGGGAAGCCCCCTCATGTGCACAAAGTGCCCACTGTGGAACCCGGAGCTGGCGTCTCCTGCCCCGCTGTACCCATGACCTCCCATTCCTGCAGACAAGCAGACAGAGTTTTGCCCTGAGGCCAGTGTGGCTGACGGGTTTCCAGGTAAAGGACGACGAAAATGGGCAACAGCTGTTCACACACTGATAGCATGGAATGATATGAGCTTTGACGTCAGACTCGTGCCTCTCTCTCCTCCTTCTGTAGTCTGTGCATTATACAGGCTCACGCTTTAATAATCAGCTTGCCTTAAAGGCTATCAATTCTGTCTTCTCAACACCTACTTTAAACAAAATTTAGCTTGACTTGACCCTCTGAGGTCAAGCTTATTCCCCAACCCTGTCCTACATGACAAAGTTAAGAAACTACAGTACCTGCAGCCAGTAAGCATAGAAAAAATGGTTTTATTAAATTTAACCAGAAGAAGTACTACACTTACCTCTTCCTCTGTCTCCTCTTATTCTGTCTTCAAACATACCGTTTCCAAAACAATAATTATTAAAGCCATTGTAGTTGTCAAATCCACCATAACCTTAAAAAAAACACATCTTATTTTAGCTCAATCATCGGTACAGAACATACCTTTTTCCTTGAACTTTTGCTCTTTAAAGACTGACTAGTAACGAAGACAATACTTGTCAACAACCTAGGACACAATAACTTGACTGCGAAGTCTTTGAAGTGCCAGGATACGGCAAAACATTGTTCCCTGCAAACTACAGAAGTGAAGATTTATATACAATCAATGTGTCAACCAACTCTGCACACCACAATGTTGATTCAAGTCCTATGCTTGACAAATTTATATCTGAAAAAAAATAGTTATTTACAGAAATAAGAAAGTTTAAAACTCAAACAACAATGCAGACTTCATTAAGCAAGCAGCATAGCCTTGTCTTTGTGGAAAAGAAAAGGATTTAAGGACAGGACAAAAAATAACACATACTTCATCATTTGTAGCCATTTTAAAATTTAACTGGAACTGAAGCAAAAGAACATTTTCAAGAAGATTTGTACAAAAGCTCGACTGTCTTAATGATAAGGTAATTATTTATGAAAAATGCACAACAACAATAGGCTTACGTATTCTGTAACCACTTCTGAGTAATGATGCAGAACCTAGATAGCTGGAGAGATTCATCTAAATATTGTACGTGTAAAGGATGAGGTTTTAATTAAATAGTATGTTATCCTGAGCAGGACAGTGGCACAGGGATTGGCAATGCTGCCTCTCAGCACTAGGGCCCTGGGTTCAAATCTGGACCTGGGGTGCGACCTGCGGGGAGTGTGCATGTTCTCCCTGTGTTTTAGCAATTCATTCTTCTCCAAATTCGATACCTTTTGTAAGCTGCGCCTGTTGAATCCGAAATGCATAGCCGGTACTAAGAAGCAAGCAGCAGGAGAAACTGAGATTTACCACCACTGTATCCTCCTCCTCCACTGCGCATCTGGTCCAAAACCCCACTGCCACCTCTGCCCGGCCCTGGCCCAAAAAATCCTCCTCGACCCATCATGGGCCTGTCATAGGGTCCCGGCCTCTGAGCCAGCATCCTCCGCGGAAGCTCATAGTACGCCCGGATTTCATTCCTGCTGCTCTTGAAGATCTCAATGTACCTGTGTGGGATCACACATAAGTGACTTACAGTGAAACATACATTCAATCAACATACGCAAGAGCAGAACAGCATTATAGGAAACAAAACATACAAGAGGTAAAACTTGTGGAAATTCTGAAAAACAAAACAAAACAAGAAATAGCCCTACACATGAAAAGGGTACCTTTATCTGCGGGGGGGGGTATTAAAATGGGCACTACATGTATGAAGAGACCAGGATATAGGGGGCAATATGAATGACCAGAGGCAGCATGACCACACTCCTCTAGTTCAGACAGTTCCCTGTCCTTGAAACGCATCATCTCTGTCATTCATGGTGTTCCAGAACATGGCCGGCATTGCTTCATGCACTTTTATCACAGATGGATCACAACCCATGGTGTGGGAGAGACAAGACTTCTTTCAAATACCTCTCAAAGGTATATTTGTCATAAAAAAGGCTCGCACAATTCTGCATTACACAGCGGTTTTAGGAATGTCTAGCTGTCCTCCCTGTGCTCTGTGAATTCTTTCAGACCTCGTAAATGGCAAGGTGTCATTACTTCATTCCCAGAAAGAAAAAAAACATATCTTCCCAGTTGCTGATTTCTTTTCTTTTATATCTTTGTAGGTGTATGATCATATCATCTTTGATTTCAATTGAAAGATGCATGACCCCCCACCCCACATAACTTATAACATTAGGTCCCAGCCCAGTCTTTCCATCCCCACCTGTGCCCTATTCTTTCCTTGTGTTTCCCCAGTGCCTTTTCTGCTATCTCCTTTGAAGCAAACTGCACGAAGGCTTCCCCTGTGCTCCTTCCCTGGTAGTCCATCGGCAATGTTATCCCATTTGGCACGATTTTCAACCCTTCAACCCAAGGACAAATAACCCCCGCAAGGGGGGACATGTTAAAAAGCCGTGACATTCCCATCTTCAGCAACAACTTCAAGCAGAAACCTACAATCCCCCCAAATCCCCCTCATTAAAAAAGTAGATCATTCCTGGTAAATACGATTTCAGATGGGCAATGCTGACATAAAAATCTGCCTCTGTTTCACCTACACCAAAACATTTTAACCATCAGTTTTTCTTGAGTTTTCTCAACAGTGTGTTCAAATGCAAAAGGAGCAGCTTTGGTACACAAGATGATATGGATTTTATTATATATATATTATATGATATTAGCATTTTAGCAATGGCCTTTCATGGTCTTTTAGGGTGCATTTATGAAATTTAATTGTTTCAGTACAACATGAATCTTATTGCTCAGATTTTAATTACTGAACCTCAGAGAGCATTTTATATTAAAGCTCAGATTTTACCTTAATAATGGCTCTTAATTATGCTTCCCAAAAGTAAAAATACTGACACATTCAGATAAAAACATGGCTCAAAATGCTTGTAACTAAATGAAGAATTCTCTTCTTTTGCAAATGAACATTTTTTTTCATTAAATTATAGAATCTTGAATTCAATTAATACCTAATATATGGCTGTTCTGTGTTACACCAAAAACAAATTGTTTGAATGCTTTCTCTGCGTTGTTAAAAAAATCTTATTGCGGTGACTTGATTTTGACCAGCAGAAAGCCTCAACACCAATATGTCAATCACATTCCTAAATGTCACCACCACGTACACCAGTGCTTTCTCATACTAATTATTTAATACCAGAAGGACTTAAAGGCAACAGAAATACTGAACATGCCATCTCTCAACTGAGTCCTACCACGAGATATACACAGGTTGTGCTAAGAAACACATCTGTGGCTTAAAGTGTGTTGAGGGCAGCAAAAAGCACGATAATGATCTAATCTCCTAAAAGTTACATGTTCTAAAATATCCTAAAATGGATAAATGATTCAGCTCATAGAAGAGATTAATTCAAACCCATCCTCCAAATAAAATGTATTGCGGAATAACTCAATGTTAGCATTTTAACAGCCGTTTTCATGTCAATACCTAGAGTATTTAACAGCCAAGATATGTACTAGACTGTTGGTTTTCAGAGGAAAATATAGATCCTTTCCATGCAATAACGAAAAAGTGATGAAAAACACAAACCTGTAGCCCTAATATATTTTAAACCATTATCATAATGTAGTTTCCATATAGTAATGCGAGAACTAGAAGATCTGTCACTGGCCAACAGTAAAAACAAGGTGAGTGAAGGGTTAGAAAAAACAGGTACCTGCAAAGAACTGAACTATCTCCTCCTTACTGCAGCCGAAGGGCAGTCCTCGCAGCCGCACCATGCACCCACTGCAGTTGTCATAGTCAGTGGGACCACACCTCTTCAGGACCCAGTCCATCTCACTCCTGTTCGACTTAAACACTGCGGGAGCAACAGACAAGAGGCTACTGGGGCGCCATGCACAACCTCAAATCAGAACAACGTTCTGACTGGTACAGAATCCCAGCAGGCCCAGAATACCCGCCTGTATTGAGTGCTTGCCCAAAATGTTGTCGCATGCATTCTGAGGGCCTTTCTTTTCGAAATACAAAATGAGGAATACGGTTTCTGAGAAGTGTAAAGAACCTTTTTACCACAGTTCTAACAGGTCTTACAAATTCACAGCTATTAAGACCTAACGAGCTCACTCCACATTAAACAGAAAAGGCTTCAGTGAGTCTGTAGATAAGGAAAAAAAAACATTCACCCTTCCATTAAAGGGGAACTGTAACACTATTTTTATATTTTGGGGTTAGAAAGATGAGTGAAAGGATGAGTGCATTTCAAACCATTAAAAAAGCAAACTGTACACGGTAATAAACCTCCATTATAAAATTGGAGGTTATAAAACCTCCAATTTACATCACAAAACAGATTCAATTTTCAGGTTTGCGCAGCACCATATTGTGTGATTCAGAATGAGGCAACAAACTGGTCACGTGATGCGGCCCGGCGACATTGTAAACAAGCAGACTTGTGAATCTGTTTTAATCCAATAGAAATATCGCTCTTGACTTTTGAGACAGTTTTACCCACAAATACTTCTTACTTGTTAACTCTGTTTCAGGTTCACGTTGGCACATTTCTGCAGTGAAATGTCTGCTGCACAACCTGTACTTATTCACTCGTACATCACATTACATTAGTCATGAAGGTGACTAGTGAGCAGGAAGGGCCGCTTCATGTCATAATTTGCGTTGCAACTCTAGCTCTATTCCGTGGTGAGACCAGTGGTTTGCGACAACATGGTGTCTTACAGTACTTCCACAGTTCATCATTTTGTGCTTAATTCGAAATTTGTAAAATATTTCTAGAACATCAATGAATTTATTTTGCTACCAAGATTGAATAACCCATCTGAGAAACTGGGACTGCAGTTCCCCTTTAATTCTGAAAGCTGAAAGAACAAAGAACAAAATTTTACAATAAACTAGCTAGAATTGATATTTGAGAGGTTAAAAATTTCAGAGTGTGTAGTCTTTGTTTCTCCAGCTTATAGAAAGTCACTCCAACAAGATACAGTACAATAATTACAAAATAATGCCACCATTTACCTTCAATATATCTATGGCCCATGTATTTACGATCCTTTGCGATTGCATTTTTGAAATCCTCTGCTGTTTTCAGCTCAACAAAAGCTTCTCCACTGGGCCTTCCCTCTTTTGAGTAGGTGAAGCACACACCATTCACTCCACCTACTATGTTGCAATCTGTAACAGGAAATGATCATTTTGTTATGCTAAAACGCATATTTTAAAAATTCAATGAACAGCATTTTCTTCAAAGATGAGCTCAAACTCCTTCATATTTAGAATAATATAAAATAATATTTTTTTTCTACTGCAGTGTGGCCACAACATATTACAAAATGGTTATTTTGCTTACATAGTAAGAACATTTCCTGGCATCACTAAAATTCAGCTGGATACAGATTTTCCATCTACTCCTGGAAGAACAGCATCAAGAAATGAATATTTTAATTTGATTAAAAAATGTGGCACTAAATTGTAAGTGTGAGGTTTCTTTTTGAAAGGGGCATTTGTTTGGGGGCAGTATAGTTCAAGGGAAAAGAGCTAAACTGAGTTCTGAACAAGGTCAAACTGTACGAAGATCTAGATCAGGCAAATTGTTCTAGATGTCCTGTATCAGACAGTAACTTCACTACAGGCCTGAACTACAGTTTGGCTTGTGAACTCCGGCGGTTTGGCGAGAAACAGGGAACAGGCTTCAGGTCTTTGCTGTTCAGTACAACGTCTCACCTGAGAAGAAACCTGCTACTTCTTCCTGCGTGCAGGACCAAGGCAGACCCCGAATTCGGACTACAAACCCCTCCTCATTCAGCGACATTTCCCCCAGCTCTTCAAAACCAGCTGCTGAAAAGGAAAACATAAGATGAGCATTGCTTCATTATTTGCCTGATAAAATAGCCTACAAAAATGTAAACACTACAACCATTAGTTCAGAATTGAGTCTGGGGGGGGTGACTAATATCTGTCCATCTTCTTCTCCTGTCCCATCCATACCCTGGGCAGTCTTCAGAAACCTTTCAGCATCAAATTAGACTTAGCATAAAGGAAAATCCTCAATGCTCCAAAACCAGAAGGAAACATTTTAAACATATAGGGACTCCTAAAATAGCGTCCTGGGTTCGGTTTTTTCTTGCAATTTGATTTGGGTCGATTTGTTATGAATATGGACTCTTTAGCAATTGTAATGTTCCCCATGTTTCAGTATCACTTCGATAGGTGTCTCTTGGTGAAAGAAACTAGCTTTTTTTTTGGGAGGCCAGTGAACTTCCATGACACAAATGACGGTCATGTGGGCTATCTGAACGCTTCCACTTACACGTTGCCTAGAAACGCCCACAGGCTTGAAAGGTTGAAGCTTTAAAAATGCAACCCACAAGCACACACCCCTTTGGGTGGTCAACGTGCACTTTTACTCACGTCAAGCAGGGGGAACCACTGACATGCACTGTGCCGACAATTCTACATCAGAAACGTGACATCGATTTTACAAAGGCTGTTTGAATATCCAGGGAAAGATCCCACTAAGGACTAAATTAAATTACCCAGAGCGGTTTAAAAAAGGAAATCAGAAGGGAATACTACTACCGTACTACTGCATTCACTTTATTTTCTCTCTCTTGCCAAAAGCCTGTCGGAAAGCGATGGCCTCATCATCCCTTTTCACCTTAACGACCTTTCCAGCACACTTACGACCTTATCAGGGGTAAACAAGCTAACACTTCGTGGGAAAGGTTGAACAAGCAGCTCACCACGCCTTTCATTTGTAACCTCTTATTTCGTATGACGTTTAAAAGAACCGTAAACGCTGCAGAGAGCTTTAAGTAAATAGTCTGAATTATGTCAATTTAATCCACCACCATTCCGAGTCTCCAGACACCTAGACCTATTCTACCCAAAAAAAGCGCCATTAAAAATTTGAGACAAAGCTAAAATATCGCAGAAAGGGCTTTGCACTGTATCGGTACATGTTTATCTGAATTCACTCCAAACCTCAGTAATAACATCCGATCACGGTTAAGATCTGTCTTCCTCTAGGAAAGTAGGCCTAACGCACACCTGCAGTTTACAAGTTTTCCTCATTAAATATTGTTTTTAACTTCGTGCGTAGTTTCCAGATATTCATTCTCATACAGTGCAGCCACACAATCTACCTTTTACTACATTAGGCCTAAATAAAATCAAACATACCCCCTGCAAGGTTGGACTCCCGACGTACACTAAGAATATGATACTAGGCGTCAATGATTCTGCTTTACAAAATGTAAATACAAATACAAACTTCTTTCGAGATATTTTACATAAGGAGATAATTTTAAATGTTTCTCACCGTGTCTCAGCACCAGAGCAGAGCCAAGTATAAAGCAATAGCTCGCCGAGACATATTATCGCGAGAAGGTAGTACAGTATTGTGCCCAAACGAGGTTTCATTTAATTTTACCTTATGTGAAGTCGTATGGTAGCCATGATGAATTTGGGCAATTGGTTTCTATAGATGGAAGATTTTATCCGTCTTACATTTCATTTTTTGGCTGAATGGCACCAATACTTCAAAATTGTAATATACCTCTTAAAGAGGTTTTAATTCTTAATATGTCAGCCTTTCCATTTTCATGTCGTTTATGTGTTTTTATTAATTCCCCAAAACAGCAGCCACTGTTCATTTTTATAATTTAAATTTAATTTAATTGGTGGATAATATATTTCAAAACATTTGTTAAGGATTCCGAACTAAAACGCTTTCACTGTATTTTGTTTAATTGTTCTTCAGTTTATAGGTATTTTTTTCTCTGCCGTTTTTCATAATTATTTTTCATAAAAGCCCTAAAGAAAGTTTTAAAATAAAAATTACACCCAATTCAACATGCAATTTAGAAGAAGTGAAAACTGCCATAAAAACCAACATAAAACGAACCACACCCTACAACAAGTTATTAGGGCACTGCAATTAAAATGAGCATTAATAACATTATAAGTTAGTTGTTCAACAAAGGCAGTTGAAATATCATACAGACTTTGTAAAGTTTGTTATAAATTAAAACCTGTGCAAAATTATACAACATCAACACTAGTTTATATATATGAAGTATAGAGATGTAATCATGCGATGAGTTTAGTGCCCGTTTGGGTAACACTACGGTGGTCCACCTCAATACTGATTGTAACTGTGTAAAAGTGGCTAGAAAAACTGGCAATTCGGATGACCAAAATGATCGTTATCTTCTTGGGGAGGTGGAAAAACATTAATACCCAAACACGGATTTAACTATATTGGATTTGCGATGTGTACTGTAACTTTAATTCAGGGGCGTTTTACACGTAGCCTATGGTTGTACAGTACGATCACACTTATCTGTGGGTAATATTACTTTAGGACTTCAGGGAAAACAGTTTATTTTCGGGGAGATTTGGGGTACGACGTAAGAAACAATGGAGATTCCTATATTTACTGTTGATGCGTTTACTAACAAACCCTTTGAAGGGAACCCAGCTGCGGTCTGTCTTCTCCAAAACGTAAGTTTTGTAAAAGCCTCGGAGATTTAGATCATGGATCTATAAACAAGAGACATAGTAGTATTGGTGGATTAATTTGGTCATGCTGCATCGTGGTTTAAGAATCACGCGTAGATGGTGTGAAAATGTAATCACTCCGTGCATTTCTAATGTTTTATTTTCTTGTCTACATATGTTGTATCCAGGCGAATAGAGAATCATTCAGCCCTTCTTCTACTAGGATATAATCGGAAAATCGTACACTTGTCAGTTTGACAAGTGATATATCATTTACATGCGCTCCCCAGCAGCCTGGATTGCAGTCCTCAGTACAATACAACTGAACTGTGTTAACAGCAAGAAGCCCGGTGATTCCCGACATGTAGAACTGAGAATCACATTACTATCCCACCTCAGTGCAGAAAGGGAAAAAAGTCTTAATGCATTGCCATCTGCTATTATGTGTTGTTTGCGAATCTTCAGTCATTAATATTGATTCCCCAATGACAATGAAACGTTCTAAACCTTAAATGTACACAATTCTATGGAGTAAGAATAAAACCTTGGTATAAAGGTTTTAAAGAAACTTTTGTCTTCTGTGTTATGTGAGCTAAACGTCCATTTTTTTATTCGATTCAGGAATTAACTCAAGACCTTTACCAGAAAATTGCAGCAGAAATGAACCTATCCGAAACAGCTTTCCTTCAGATATTAAATTCTACAGACGACTTTCATTCAGGTAATGCCTTGCCTTGTATTTTATCACTATTTTATGTTTTCCCTATTTTTAGGTAATGACTACAGACTAGAAATCAAGCTGATATTAATGGTGGAGACAAGGGATTAACAATGTACCTTAACAGATTCGGGTTCTCGGGCTTGTGCCCTCACTGCTCCTGCCCCAGTTCGTCCCTCACCGCATGGGCGCAAACCCACGTCACCGGCGTCGCTCAACAGACGTCTTGCCGGCTGAGCTAAAGAAGACTTCCCTCATCCTCGACGGCCAACATCCATGTTATGCACAGGGGCCTATTCGCCACATTGGTGTGAGAGTGGGATGGGATTGCCCTTCACCGAGGACGAGGAATTAAACCGGGGGAGAAGTGTAACGAATAGGCCCCTGCGCATGACAGGGATGTTGACCTTCCGGCTTCCGGTCAAATTCCGCGTAGACTTTAAAATCCTCATGCTCACGTATAAGGCTTTACATGGCTTGGCACCTCAATACCTGTCTGAACTTTAATCGCTCTACTCCCCACCTCGCAACCTCCGCTCTTCAAATTCTGCCCTCCTTACTGTCCCCCAAGCCCGTCTACATTGTATGGGCGACAGGGCCTTCTCCTGCTATGCCCCCAAGCTCTGGAACTCTTTGTCCAAGGATATTAGAGAGTCACCTTCTCTAAACTCCTTCAAATCCAGACTCAAAACCTTCTTC